GGTGTGCCATGCGATTACGATGAAGACGAAGTGGATTTTGACGTGCTCGGATGGTGGAAGCGGAACGAACACATGTTCCCATGTCTCGGCATGCTAGCAAGACAAGTGTTATCCGTTCCGGTATCAACCGTAGCAGTTGAACGAGAATTCAGTGCTGGCGGCAACATTCTAACCGACTTTCGAAGTTGTCTTAGCGCTGAATCTCTTGAAACACTTGTTTGCAACCAAGATTGGCTCTTGGCAAGACGTCGAGCTCAAGAGTCAACGTACCAACTCGAATCGGAGCATTACATGAATGTAACAACAGATGGAAGTCCGAGTTCTGAAGAATAAGTTATAATTTTTTTTGTTAATGTAAATATGTAATTAGTTTTTTTAGCTGAGCGATATATAAGCTCCTTCGAGGGTTTCTTTACGGTTCTTTACCTCGTCGCTTTTTTTGAACCGTCAGGATATTAAATGTGGTTGTTCTTCAGTTAGTGTATTATTCATTTAAAATATTTAAATAACAACTACATTTTTAGATAACTACATTCCGGTACTTCATTCTTTCCTTAAACAATTGCAAATTTAAAATTTTATACTTAAAAATTTTAAAAACAGCAAAAAAAAATTAATAGGGGAGGGGCGAAACCGGCCGGTCCGGTACCGGAACCGCCGGTCCGGGAACCGGAACCGGTACCGGCCGGCACGGTGATGGTTCCGGTGACATGGGGTGGCGGTACCGGAACCGGCGGTTCCGGAACCGGAACCGTACCGGAACCGTACCGTGTCCACCCCTAGTTCTAATTGTGTTGCTTTATTTTAATTTTGGAGTGTGTAATGAACTTATATATAATGGATTATGCTTTGTTATTTTCAATTTGGAGAATGAAATGAATTTTTTAAAGTTCAAATTTTGGTTTATGTTCGGTTTTCAGTAAAACCGATTACCAAACCGATTTAATTTGGTTTTTACCAAGCCGAACCATTTGATTTCGGTTTGGTATTTGGTACAAAAAATAAATTACCGAAATTTCGATTTACTGAATTTTTGGTTCGGTTCGCTTTTATCGAATGAACACCCCTAAATTTACCCCTCAAATTTTATGTATAAAGAAATTGTTCTTTTTATTGTAAAATTGTGTGATCTGGACTTTTGTTTTATTTAATGTGTTTTTTTTCTTGATGCAACTTTTGGGCCGTGAAGCTAATATGGGTATAGCGCGTATCACATACGATTTTGGTTGCCCGGGTCCAACTATAAAAATGGGTCACTAATTCATGTAAAAATGTGGTACGGATCCATGTTTATATAGGTCTTCCGATTTTTTTTGGGAAAAGAAATTTTCTAACATATAACATTCGATTTTTTTGTGTGGACTGCGGGACATAATATTAATCACCACAAAATAGTCATAAAAGAAAATATATGGTTAAAAATTTGTTTAGATGCGAGAGTAATTTTGTGGATCATATATCAATTACTCTTCATTAAAAAAAATACATAAAGTGAGAATTGTTATTTGTGACATCCAAAAAGAAAATACAGTTTAAGTTTTTTGACACAGGATGAGCTACATTGGCAACCCTATTGCCTGCCACACTGCTCACTTTGCTGATACACTACCGCCCTCCGCCGCCACACTGCCATTGCCGCCTCCGCTGCCACACTGCTAGCTCAGCAAACAAACTATTACCGCCTGCATATTGCAAACTCCGATCCACCGACACATTGCCACCACGACCGCCGTCACATAGACACCACCACAACTGCCACAATGCCAACTGTGCCACCGCACTACAACTATCATCGCCGCCACACTGCCATCTCCACCACCACACTGCCAAGTAATTTTTAAGCAGTAGTCTGTTGTGCCCAAAACATATCCAATATGCTAGTCCAATAATATTTCTCCGCCGTAGCACCGACCGGCACAGATGCAAACTTCCTCAAAAAAAAGATTAACTTCAGATTAAAAAATATTGCTCTGCCTTCAACTAGAGGAGCGACCAGTTGGTTCACCAAACCCCGACCCAGCGTCACACGTTCTCCAGGTCCGAAGGGATCCAGTGCCCAACTACCGACTCCTCCCGGAATTGCGTTAGCCACCCAAAACCTAATTTCCAATAAATTCCAAATTAAATTGTTAGATGAAATGAAAACCTGATTTTGAATAAATTTCAAACCAATTTTGAAGAAATCAAAACTAGATTTGGAGAAAAGTAGAAAGTAGAGGGGAAATTTGACCTGAAATGTAGCGTCGCCGCCTCAGTCCCTTGCATTCCCGTCGCTGCTGTCGTTCACCAGTCTCCGACATCACTGCTGATGAATTCCATTTTGTTTAATATGGCCGGACGAATCGGAAGAGGATGATGATGATGATGGCGATGTTCTTGCACTTCAGCCTTACTTCGGTGGATCACAATTATGCATGTAATAGTCACACATTTTGTGGGGCTTACGGGGTAGGGGGTAGGGGTGGAGGTGCATGGGCGGGGTAGGGTGGGGGGGTTTAGGGGTGGGTTAGGGGTAGGAACCATCAATTTTGCGAACAGAGCACCGGAGGTGCCCAAAATACCAGTGGCACCGTACTCCGGTGTCACTAGAACCCCACCGATGTTATATAGAACATTCTTGCAACATGAATGAATGTGAGAAGAATGATTATGAATTTAAGATCTTTGTTATAGATATTTGGTAAAAAAGACTCATTTTTGTTGCAGTAACATATTAGTCTTATTTGTATTTGTAGTCAATTAAGATATTTTTCTTTCATAGTATTTTCACCAATTTGTTTCAATTATAGAAAATAAAAGATGTGAACTTTTATCATAAGTATACTTGACCCAATACGGAGACCCAATGGATCCAGATCTAGAATTAAACTTCAAGAACCATCGGATAAACGGGCACGGGTTAGGACCAACTTTTTTAAATGAGTACGGGTATAGAACACTATGGACCGGCTCGAACCCGACCCATTAACAAGCCATGGTGGACCGATCAAATTTTATTTTTTATAATTGTTTTCAATATAATAATCTACTATCAATTTTGATGTCTTTTCTTATATTTTTCTCATGTTACAATAACTTTAAGACTAATTCAATATTATGCATAATTTTTTATCACAACTTTTTTAAAAAGTCAATTTAAAAATAGAAATTCTATTAAGTTTTTTCTTACAAATTATGTTACAATATTTTCAAGACTAATAAAATGTTACATTTTTGTTTTCTATCACAAAAATGAATTTTTTGTGGGAAGAATGAAAGAACTCTTTAAACTCTTTTTACACCCTTTTTAAAATGATTTCTTTTTATTATTTTTATTTATAATAAAATATATGCAAGATTTGAGTGTCAGGTTGTGATCCACAGTAGTCTCTCAAACATCTTCGTCTTCAGTCTTGTACGGAGAAATCTGGTAGTATTATTGTTGACTTTTTAATTTATATCTTAAACGACATTCAAGTTTTTATTGTAGTGTTGATACTCTGTTAAAAAATTAATTTTTAGATAATGGTGATTGACAATATTTAGTGTGTATTACCCATTACAAATTAGTAATAGAAATACTTTTTTTTATACGTGGACACCTTAAATTAAATAGATAATATTGATTTAAAAAATAAAAAAATAGTCTAATTCGATCCGGGCTGGGTTTCACGGTTTGATCCTGGGCTTATCCTTATCTTATTGGGGTCAGTCCCCGTTCCAAGAAAAGTATCTTATTCGGTCCCGGTCCGGGTTCGAACAGATGCACACCCCTAATTGCACGTGAAACCTTAATTTTTTTTGAAACTAAGTGGTGGTGAGTTTTGAACTCGTGACATTTTTGTCAACAAGAAACCGATATCATGTCAAGGAACCAACTAAACCAAAAGCTAGAGCTTGTGGTTGTGGTCCTAGAAAGATTTTTATGTATACTCTAACAATGTTAGAGTTTGCACATCCGAAAATAAAGAAGAATACCATTAGCATATATAGAAAGGTGAAGTTCTACCTATCAGCTTAAAATTTTGTGTTAGATAGTGGATCTTTACTTTATATGCAAGTGATTAATTTTACCTAACACTCTACTTGTTCTTCTCAGCCGACTTGAATTTTAACATGGTATTGGAGTATGTCTTATTCACATTTGATTTCCTAGTTGTTTGGACATAGGTTTAGGCATATGAGTTACCCATCCGTGGTTTGGGTTGGGGTTGCTATGAGAGATTGAGAAGTTAGACCTATCTATCCAAGTGCTAACTAGACTAGACTAGTTACCACTTGAGAGGAAGTGTTGGAGTTCCCACATCAAAAAATAAAAAAGAATACACTAGTGTATATAGAAGGATGTAACCCTACTTATCAGCTTAAACTTATGGATTAGATAGTGCATTTCATTTTTATGCGACTAATTAATTTTAGCCGATACTCTGTTCGTTGTTCTCGGTCCACCGGAATTTTAAAAATATATGTGTGTGTATAAGTGTATTTTTGCATGTATTATGTATCAGAGTGCTTTTAAAAATTGGTAAAGGAAATTCACATTTTATAAAGAATTGAGGGGAAAAAAAACTAGAGGTGGCAATCGGGTCAACCAGATCAGTTTCAGGTTGAATTTTTTCGGTTTGGATATCTTTCGGATAAATGTTATAATCGGTTCGGTTCAGATCGGTTTAATTTCGGGACGGATTGGATTCAGTTCTATACATTTTTCGGTTCGGTTCGGTTTCGAGTCGGTTCATATACGGTTTGGATACAATTTGAATCGGATATATTTCAGTTTCGGATCTAGTTTGGTTCGGATATATTTCGGTTTCGGATCAAATATATTTTGGATATATATTATTTTCTAATAGAAACTTAATTATCCATGTTTCTTTTTATGTTTTATCACATTTATCAATCTATCATCAATATAATACCTCATATTATTTTATATTTTTTCCTAATTATATTATCTTTACCCTAAATATTCCCTTTTTGAATTTTAGTCATATTTTACAAATTTAGACTACAAATTATGAAAAAATATATATTTAATTATGATTTAAATTTAATATAATTAAATTGATTTTAAAATTTTGTTTTGATATATCAAATTTTTCTCACATCTACTAATGTATTTATGTTTATAAATGAAAAGATAAAAGATAAATTCAAATAGTGTTATCTTCCATTTGAATACAATTTGGTAAAAATTGAGTAAAAATTGGATGAAATTAAGTGAATTTTATTCAATTGAGTGCAAAATTTATAAATTATTTGAGTGTATTTTGTTGAAATCAGATAAATTAAATTTAATATAGTCAAATATAATTAATTTTACAACTAAATGTAATGGTGTAGATCAAATTTGAAAACGATAACACTAAATATTGCCGCTAGAAAGTCTTTTTAAAATGCTAACAGTAACATCTGATGTTATTGACTAATATTGAGTGAATTGGTTTGAAACGAATTAAATTAACTCTCAAACAAATAAAATTTATTGTAATTGGATGAAATTAGGATAAAATCTAGTTATTCCATACAATTCATCAAATAATCCTTTCGTCCCAAAAAGAATATCACACTTCACTATTTAAAAATTACGGAAATTTTATTTGTTTGTGCGTTATTATTTATTATTTGATAAAATAAACTATTATTCTTGTAACATCTTATTTTGGAAAGTTTTGGACGTATTTTTTAAATATGTAGACATTTTTTATTTCTATACCAATCTTTAAATAAAATAATTTTTAAAAACTTAAAATTTTTGCTTTGTTTTGCGTTTTGTAGCATTCTTTCTAAGATGGAGAGAGTTTTTTCTTCAAAACAAGATTTTTTAAATTAGATTTTGTAACTTAAGACTGAAATTGGTACTGTATTTTTCATATAATAACTAATCAAAGACTTAATTTTTTATCAATTTTCATATGCTCAAAATTTCCTCCATTCCTTTTCACTTTCCCTACTTAATCTTATCAGTTTTCTTATGTCACCATTCATCTCATTTCTCAATTTTCATTCACCTTCAACTCTTAGACCTAATTTTTTTCAATTGATGCTTCACCTTGTTTTCAAATATTTTTATTCCCTTTAATTTTGTTAATAACAAAATAGTTGATTCACTTTATTCATCCAAAATTTTATATGTATAACTTATCTTCAATCTCTAAATATAATAAATTTAAGTCATGAAATTTCGTACTTTTTTCAAGATGACAATCAATTTTATGAGGAAATGAGCAAGTAATGTAATTAGTTCAAATGATAAAATAAAAGTAAAAATTTAAAAATGTAATATGCTTATTGAAAGGAAAACAAGATTCCGAATTTATTGGTTTTCGTTCTAATCAGGCTCGGATATTATTGGTTTCAGATCTAATCAGTTTCGAGTATTATCGATTTTGGATCTAATCGGTTTCGGGTTTAATCGGTTTCGGATTTAATCGGTTTCGGATTTCAATCGGATATGAATTATTTTGTTCGGTTTCGGTTCGAATCGGATCATTTCGGATTTTCAATTATAGATCTGATCTTCATTTTTCGTATCATTTCGGTTTCGATTTCGGATATTTTGGTTCGAATAATCAGTTCTAGTTATGTTTTGTCAGGTCTAAAAATAACCGTAAAAACCCATTAATATACTTTGGATTAGGGGGGGGAGTCTCGGTGATGTTGAATGCTAAGTTCTTCATCTTCTTTTACCGTTTGGGCGGCGGGACGGGAGTGGTGATTTATATGAAGGCCGACATGTTTGGTTAGTCGAAATTTAAGAGGCCGGCCCGCAAGTTGTCTTAGACTATTGGAATGGGTAAGGGGAGAGAGAGAGGTTGTGAGTCAGCATCACATGGGAGCCGCCCGCCGATGAATAAACAAACAAACAAACTTGTTTACGTTGTACTCCAGTAGCTAGTCACACACTCAATAGTGCTACTTTT